AGCTAAAGTTAACTGTACGGTCTTGGATAAAGACCCAGTGTCTTGATAAATTAGAAGAAATCCCATTTATCTCCCTTTCCTCATTCATGGTCTCACAGACATTCACCGAATGCTGACGTCATACCAGGCGCCGTGCTGGGTGCTCAGGCCGGAGATATGAATGAGACAGGGCGTCTGTCCTCAGGGAGCTCACTGTCCAGTAAAAGACACCAACCCTGAGACCATGCTGTGGGTGAGAGGGTGTGGGGGGACAGCATCTACCCTAGACATGTCGCAGAAGGTCTCCTGGAGGTCTGAGCCAAGGCCTGAGAAATGAGTCGTGTATGCATTTCCTATTGCTGCTGGAATAAATTGCACAAATGTAGTGGCCTAAACAGCAGAAGTTTATTCTCCTATAGTTCTACAGATCAGAAGTCTGAAGTGTCTTCTGGGACTAAAATCAAAGTGTTGACAGGGCTGGCTCCTTCTAGAAGGTTCAGGGGAGAATCCTTATTGTCTCTTCCAGCTCCAGGGAGTCCTTGGCTGGTGGCCACAGCACTCTCATCTCTGCCTTTGTGGCCACACTGCCTCCTCTCCTATGTCCAGTCTCCCTCTGTCTTTCTTATAAGGACACTTGTGATTGCATTTAGGGCCCATCTGGATAATCCTGGGTGATCTCTCCATTTCAGTATTCTTAATCACATTCTAATTTATTCAATCACTCTCCTTTTGATAGATTTCATATATATAATTTATTTCAGAGAGGAAGGGAGAGGGAGAGAGAGATAGAAACATCAGTGATGAGAGAGAATCATTGATCGGCTGCCTCTTGCACGCCCCCTAGTGGGGATCAAGCCTGAAACCCTGGCAGGTGTCCTGATAGGGAATTGAACCCTGACTTCCTGGTTCATGGGTCAATGCTCAATCACTGAACCATGCCGGCCGGGCTCATCATTGATGTTTCTATCTCTCCCCGCTTCCTCCTTCCTCTCCCTGAAATCAATAAAAACGTACTTTGAAAAAAAAAAATCTTTCTCGAAGTGACAGCTGCTGTCAATTCCTCACTTTGCTGCCTCATTTCTCTGGGCTGTGTCTCTTCTTGTTGGAATCTGAGCCATTCTTCAAAGCTGCAGTTAAATGCCGCTCCACTGTGGAGCCTTTCCTGATTTCTTCTTTCTTCCTCGGCTCCTCCTTCCTGCATACACACCACTTCCCTTGGAATGCATTTACTCACTTGCTGCGACAGTCCTTAAATAGTTAAATTGATGACCTTTCTGAGCCTCACTTAGTCCCTTTGTAAAACTGAAATAATATCTGCCGTAAACGGCTGTTGTGAGTTAAGAGAAATAACGTATGTGAATCACAGTCCTGGGACACAGAATACACGTAACATATGTTAGTCAGACGTTATCACGTACATCTGCACAGCCCTGAAATTCACACGCAGGTTTTTTCTGTATGTGTTAGGGCTCTTATTCTTTTTATTTTATATAATAGCTATTTGTGTTGACTGTAGGCTCCTGGGGCGGGGGGAGGGGTAGGAAGGGAGGGGAAAATAGGGTATAGTGAAAAGAAACAGGATTTGGAATAAAAAGATTTGGATCTGCTCCTCAACCAGCTATCTGACTGAGGACAAGGTATTTCTCCTTCCTGAGTTTCTTTCTTCGTAAAAGGAAGGTACACAATAAATGTATGTTATCATGTACGTTATCAAAACAAGATAACGGATTGCCAAGCACTAATGTCTTACCACCCAATTGCCCTTGTCTATTTCCCAAAGCTCAGCACAGTGTCTGCCTGGGGCGGGAGGAGTGTGCATACGGATTTGTTAAATAAGTGGGCCATTGCATTGACTTCATTTGGTCTTCACATTTCCCCTCTGAGATAAGCTTTAATATCCCCATTTCAAAGATGAGAGAACCGAGGCTTGGAGTGAATAAAGTGCTTCATCCATTCATTCAAAAGACACCTGAATGAGCAACTACCATGCATCAGACACTCAGATACTGGGGATACAAAGATGAAAACCTCTGCCCCTCACAGTCCGGAGTGGCGGGCAGGCATATAAAAATAAGCATAACTAATATTTATTGGGTTCTTACTAAGTGCCAGTCACTATGGCAACTCTTCCTGTGTTTCAGTCATTCAGTCCATCCCAAACCCTTCAGCTAGGGAACATTCCGATGCCTGTTTCTCATGTATCCGTACGTAAGGCATAGTGATTGCTTCAGGTTTCATAAGTAGCAAGAGGCAGAGCCAAGATTAATACCCAGTTGGTCTAGTCCCCACCTTAGCCACCAAGCTCCACCACCTCTGTCAAGCAGATAGGGCACCGTCAGAGCCCCAGGGAGGGGCCTCTAACTCAGTCTGGGGTTCAGTCGGTGGCTGGAGGGGTTTCCCGAAGGACTGGGGGAATTAGCTAAGCCTCAGAGGTGCCTGAGGAAGGCAGGGCCATTCCAGGAGAGGGAAAGGTGAGGATCCCCCCAGGGAAGGTCTCATACAGCATCCCAGGCAGGGACAGGGGTTAGGAGGAGGCTGCAGAAGCAGGCTGGGCCAGTTTAGAATGGAGAGTGCTCCATAGCCTAGAGGTCGCTGGAGGTTTGAAGGGTTCTAAGCAGAGGGGAGGCCTGGCTAGATGTTTAGAAACATCATGTGGGCAGCTGGGTAGAGGCGGATGGGAGGAAGAGAGACTCAGAGTAATCCCAGGTGCGAGCTGGTGGTGGCCTAGACAAGGTCTGGGGCGATGAGGAGGGGATAAGAGACGGGCAGAGGTTGGGTTTTCCGGATGATTGGGAGGGAGACTGTTGGGTAGAGGACAAGGAGCAATTTTGAAGGACACACAGTTTCGGCTTCTAATCCAGGAGAATGGGGGTGATGTCATGAGGTCAGGTTTGCATGCAGCCCAGGTCTTCTGGCCCCATTCGCGTGTCCTTTCGCCTCGTAACGTGGTCAGCAATGATGCCCGCAGACGTGCCCCCAAGTCACCGGGGAACGCGGCGGCCCCGCCTCGCCAACCAGCTCGGCGCCTTGAACCCCACCC